CAGTGCCGCCCTAAAGACCAATCTGCTTCCTGACATTTCCACCTGCATGGCTTACAGGAACCCCAAACTCACTTTGAGAAAAAGTGAGATGTTGACCTCCCTCTTTCAAAATGTGCTTCTCTTCCATCGCAGAATTGGGACCTCTTGACTTGTGATTTGATCTCTTCGTCCTCACTCCTCAGTCAATCTATCATTAAGTCCTGTCCATTCTGCCTGCACATATATGCAATCTACATTCTATCAAATCTAAAATGGCCCTAGCCTGTTTGGCTCAATGGATAGAGTGCCGGCCTGTGGACCAAAGGGTCCTAGGTTCGATTCCAGTCAAGGGCATGTACCTTGGTTGCAGGCTCCTCCCCAGCCCAGGCCCTGGTCAGGGCTCGTGCAGGAGGTAACCAATCGATGTGTTTCTCTTCGATGTTTCTGTCTTTCCCTCTCTCTTCCACTCTCTCTAGAACAGTGATGGCAAACCTTTTGAGCTCGGCGTGTCAGCATTTTGGAAAATCCTAACTTAACTCTGGTGCAGTGTCACATATAGAAATTTTTTGATATTTGCAAACATAGTAAAACAAAGATTTATATTTTTGATATTTATTTTATATATTTAAATGCCATTTAACAAAGGAAAATCAACCAAAAAAAAATGAGTTCACGTGTCACCTCTGACACGCGTGTCATAGGTTCGCCATCACTGCTCTAGAAGATCAATAGAAAAACATCCTTGGGTAAGGATTAACAACAACAACAAAATGAAAACGTGTTGCTGCTGGCACTTTCTTAATCTTGACAGGAAGTGTCAATGAAATGTGTGTACCATGCAACCACCTCACAGCTGTTTCATGGTTGACAGCATTGAAAGATGTTCCTGACTGAAGAATGCACCTTGATTTTATGGACGTTTAAATGTGGGAAAACATGTGAATCTTAGAATCGATGAAATAGAGAATCTTATATCCATCTATTTCTATCTTCCCTCACCACTATTCTAGCATAAGTCTTCTTCCCGTCTGGACTTCCTTAGACCTCACATTTACCCTTATTCACTGGCAAGTTTGCCTCCAAAAGGGTATCTGGACTCCCATGACTTCTCAGTCTCTCCCCTGCTCTCTTGCCCAGACACCTTGTCTCCTTACCTTCTCCAGCAAGCCAGAGGGACCTTTCTAGAGGGAAAAGCAAACACATCACCTCTCACCCCCAAATTCCCCAAACATTTCCACTTACACCTGGAATACAGTTCACAGCCAGCAAGGCCTACTGATTGTCCCATCCCCTGCTCCATTCTTTTTTAATTTTTTCTATTTATTGATGAGAGAGAGAGAGAGAGAGAGAGAGAGAGAGAGAGAGAGAGAGAGAGAGAAACATACATCAATTTGTTGTTCTACTTATTCATGCATTCGTTGGTTGCTTCTTGTATGCGCCCTGACCAGGGCTCAAACTCACAACCTTGGTGTATTGGGACGGCATTGGGACGACACCAGGTGGCCAAGGCTACTCCATTCTCATTGTTCTTCACTCGTTACCTTGTTCACTGTGCTCCAGACACCGGGACATTTTCCTCGCCCACCTCAGGGCTTCTGCATCCGCCATTCTGTCTGTTTCCAAAGCTCCTATCCTGGATCTTTGCATCGTCACCTCCTTCTCATCAGTCTGGGGCCAGCTTAGATGTCACTTGAAGAGAGGCCTTTCCCAGACCCGCCTCACTAAAGCTGCCTCCCAGGTCTCTGCCCACCCGCCCCCTCCTGCCAACGTTCTACCACATTTTACACCTGGTTTATGTATTTCTTTCTCTTCCTCCCCTCACTAGTATATAAGCTCCTGGAGGGCAGGGACTGTCTTGTTCCCTGTTACCGCCTCAGCATCTTAGTGCTTTGCACAGAGTAGGCACTTGATACAGATTGAAGAAATATTTGGTCGGTGCCATGTCCCACTTCCTACTTTCCCTTTTGTACTTCATGCCTCCTCCTAAACTCAATTGCTAGACAGATCCTTTAAAAACAAAAATCTGACCATGTTACTCTTCTATTTAAAACCCATAACTGCCCATTGCAACTCTTAAGTAAGGCCTTGGCAGCATCCTACAGTAACTGATCTGTTATATCTTCATTTAATTCAGCTCGAAATGCTTTCTAATTTCCCCTGTGATTTCTTCTTTGACTCATGGGTTTTGGAAGTATGCTATTTAGTTTCCTAATATTTGGGGATTATCCAGATATCTTTCTGTTACTGATTTTTAATTTAATTTCATGGTGATCAAAGAATATTCTTTGTATGACTTGGATCCTTTTTCATTCATTGAGACTTGGTTTCTGACCCCGAATATGATTACTCTACATAGACCTTCCATGGGCACTTGAGGAGAATGTACATTCTGCAGTTTTGGGGAGGAACATTCTACAAATGTCAATTAGTCAATTTGGTCGATAGTGCTGTTCAAGTCTACTATTTCCTTCCTGATTTTTTTTTGCCTACCTGTATACAGTATTTAGAGAGGTGTATTGAAATTTGCAACTATAATTGTGGATTTATTTCTCCCTTAAATTTTATCAGTTTTTAATCTCCTATATGTTGAAGCTCTGCTATTAGGAGCAAAACCATTTAAGACTATTATGTCTTATTTATTGGTTAATTGACCCATTTACAATGGTCAATGGCCTTCATTAACTCCATAATATTCTTTGCTCTGAAACCTACTTTACTTGATATTAATATAATCATTCTTTTGACCCATGTAAACATTCTCCTTGTCTTCATTCTCCTAACCTATTTGTGTCTTTATGCTTAAAGTGTGTTTCTTGTTGATATCATCTAATTGGGTCTTGCTTTTTTTCCTCCATTCTCATCTACATTTAATTGGGATGTTTAAACCATATATATTTAATGTGGTTATTGTTATGGTAAGCTTTAAGCCTGTCATCTTAATATGTATTATTTGCCTCGTCTGTTCTTTGTTTCCTCTTTTTATGCTTTATTTTGGATTGAGTATTTTATTATTCTTTTTATCTCTGTTGGCTTATTAGATACTGGTATAATGCTTTCATTATTTTAGTGGCTGATTTAGGATTCATAATCTACACCTTTAATGTATTACAGTCTACCTTCCAGTGATATATCACTTTACATGTAGAATAAGAACATCAAAAGAGTATATCTCCACCCCCCACCCCCACTTGGCCTTGGTGCTATTATTGGCACACATTTTACTTTGGTCATACATTTAGTCGTTATAAATGTCAGTCACTTAGATCTTATAAATCCCCATAATATGCAATGTTATTATTTTGTTTGAACAGCCAATTATCTTTAAAGACATTCCTGAGTACACTACCCAATGCCCTAAGAGTTATGAATTTTTAGGCTTTTAAATTTTTTTTTCAAGTTTGAGTGGTGAGAGCAGACACTGTTCCCAGCCCTAAGTGAAAACCAGGCATTATTCTCTGGAATCCTTTTGGACAGCTTCCTGGCCTTTGATAGTTTCCTCACGTGCATGGTGAATCAGTCCTCTGCTGACAACTTTTGGGGGCGGGGGACCCTTTGCAGGCCTCCAGGGTTCTTGCTTGGGGAAGCTCTCTTCCTTCTTGTATTCTCTGTCCTAATAATTCCAGCTGCACTGGTCTCCCTAGACTCTCAGCTCATTCTGCTCAACTCAGAGACTCCACACAGCTCCACCGCGAGGCCCCATCCCCGTGCCACCACCTGGAGACTGTCTGAAGGCAATGGCCTGGGCCACCCCAGGGTTCAGTTCTTTTGTTCTCCTCTCTCATAGGTCACTGTCCTTTGTTGCCTGGTGTCCCAATTTTTTTTTTTTTTAAAAGCACTACTTCACATTATGTCTTTCTTTCTGGTAAGAAATGATATTCATGTCTCTTCATCTTGACTGGACTATCGCCTGTCTTTGAGCTTATTACTTCTATCTTCTGTTGTGTCCAGTCTTCAGTTAAACCCATCCAGTAAGGCTTTTCTTTTTTAAATAGACGATTTTTAGAGCAGTTTTAGGAAAATTGAGCAGAAAGTACAGAGCGTTCCCATATACCTCCTGCCCTAACCACGCACGGCCTCCCCCACGATCAACATCCTGCCCCAGAATGTGCCCTGGCCTTGCTTGGTCACTCATCAGGAGCCTCCCCAGGTGAGGGCTTGAAGCTGAGGCAAAGCCTGAACGATGGGAAATTGGAGGCTGTCACAAAGCATGCTCCTCAAGGCTGCACGTAAACCCTTTCATGAGAGGGGGTCTGAACGCGTACACCTCTTCACATCTGCCATCCGGGGCACGTTTTCCTCGTGGCGGAGCCTGGGCCAGGGGAGCAAGTCCAAGTGCACAAGCACATGTTGAGTGCCTGCTTGCTTTGCTAACACCCGATTGGCTGGAGCGATCTTGTGGGCAGCCGAACATGAAGGCGCAAGGAAGTCTGCTCTGCCCACGCAGAGGGCATGAAAGGTGGGTATGCTACAGGGAGTGAGGACTCTGGACCCATAATTTGATCCACAAAGAAGAAAGTCCTTGATAAAATCTGGCCCACACTAGTCACTATCAGTACTACCTGCTCACGGGACCAGGCACCGCAGGACAGCTCTTAGGAAGGACAGTCACTGGGCTAAAAACCAGAAGTCAGATTTGGTCCCTGGAAGTCAAAACTGCAGCCTCAAAAAGGGGCCAGGCCAGAGCCCAAAGCAACCACCACGCCCTCCTCCCAGAGCCCCTGCCGGGCAGCTCCTGGGCCGGCCAGGCTGCTGGGCCCACGGCTGCCCGGTGGATCAATAGTAATTGGGGGCGCTGGGGGCGAGTTCCTCAGTTGAACTGACCGTAAGGAGTGCCAGTGCCGGCCGCTTCCTGAGTCCTGGGGAAAAGCGCATGCACCATCCACTTAGCGCTGGAGCCTGGCCATTCCCGGGGCACTGCCGCCCCTCCTCCTCCTCCTCCTCCTCCTCCTCCTCCTCTCCGCGGGGCCTGGGCGATCCTGCCTCTTCCTCCCGTACCTCCTGTCCTGTGAGCTCCTGGGAGGATGGAGGCTGCAGGGCTGCCCCAGGCCAGGAGGTGCTGCCAGGAGGCCCTGGAGACACTCCTCCCTCGCCTCTGCTTTCTCTGCTCCCTGGTGACCTACGCCATGCTGGGCGCCCTGCTCTTCTCAGCCATTGAGGGTGGCCGGGACCTGGGGGCGGGTGACCCAGAGTTTGAGGATTTCTTGGAGCAGCTCTGTGGCCTCTTAAAATGCAACAGAACTGGTAGGTGGCTCACCGGGGCAGGGTGGGCCTTTTCTCTGTGGGTGGAGGGGCTGGGACCCTCTGCATGGAGCCTCCCATTCCTGGGCGACCTTAGGCCAGGGGCTTCCCTCTCCGAGCCTCAGTTTTCTCCTCTGTCAATAGGGAGAATAATGGCCTCTTAGGGTTGCCGTGAAGAATGTAGAAGAAGCACTGAGCACCCAGTAGCTGCTCTGAAAAGACGCTCCCTTCCCGCTGCCTCAGCCCCAGCCCCACACAGGCCAGCAGGCTCTGGGGAGGGTGGGCTGCTAGAGATACGATGAGGTTGGGGCGGGTGTGGGGGGGTGACAAAGCTGGGGCTAGGAGTTCCTAGGCTGGTCCTCAGAACGATGCCTGCCCCACCCATGATTCCATTTACAGGGATTAGAAGTCAAGGAACAATCCAAATTGGGCACCAGATAGATAGCAGCCTGCCCCCTGCTCTCCTGCTTCCTATTTCAAGCAGCCTCTTCTGTTGTTGGACTCAGGGGCGGGGGAGAGACGGTAGGAAGACCTCGGGGCCTGGTTCTAGTCCTCCTCGCCGGTCTCCCGCGTGCTGTGTGGCCCCAGGCAGAGCCACTGCCCTCTCTGGGTGTAGAGTGCTGGACAGAGGGGGGCCACAATCCCAAGGACCCATGGGAAGCAGACGCGATGATAAACGAGATGGAAGGCAGAAGGCACCGTGTCTGTGTCCCGATCGGGTTTCACTTGTATTTCGCCACTGGTTTCCACTGGAGGCGGGTCCTCTGGGCTGGGGCTGACTAGAGGTTGGTGGCAGGGGCAGGGTCTCCCCTCTGTGGAGGGCCCCCCCCACCCCTCCTCTCTGCACCTGTACCAGACAGACACGCACCTGCTCAGCCAACTGGGAGGTGACTTCTGCCAGCGCTGCTGCTCGGACACCGAGCCATGGCCGGCTCTGGACTGTCAGCAAGGGCAGGGCTTTCCGCACCTGGCCATGACCGGCACCACCCAGGGGGCTTGTCTAAAATGCACATGCCCAGCGCCTCCCCAAACCAACTTAATCATGACCTCTGGGGCCGGGCTGGAATCTTATTTTTTTAAAATATTTTTTATTGATTTTAGAGAGAGGAAGGGAGAGGGAGAGAGGGAAAGAGAGAGAGAGAGAGAGAGAGAGAGAGAGAGAGAGAGAGAGAGAGAGAGAGAGAAACATCAATGAGAGAGAAACATTGACCGGCTGCCTCCTGCACTTCCCTACTGGGGATGGAGCCTGCAACCCAGGCATGACCAGGAATTGAACCATGACCTCCTAGTTCATGGGCCGACACTCAAACACTAAGACACACCAGCCGGGGGGAATCCAATGTTTCAGAAGTTTCCCAGGTGATTCTGATGCACGGAATGGTGTGGGAACACGGAGCTGGTCCAGACACATTTTGTACCGATTTTCAATGGAGGTTAAATGCCTCAGTACGGGCTAGCTAAGAGCAGACGCCATGCCAAACGCTTTCCATGCAATAGCACACTCAGTCCTTACACCACCCCCATGAGGAAGCAATGGCTGGAGCAATCATGGGTAAGTTCGAGGCTGGGCATGAATTGTCCCCTCTCTCAGATGAAGAAACTGAGGCGCTGGGAGGGAAGCGGCTTGCCCAAGGTCGCACACTAGGAAATGGGGCCAGGGATTCAACCCCAGGCATTTGGGTTCCAGAGCCAGAGCTCCCCCGCCCCCATGTCCTACTGCCTCCCTGCTGGGGAAACGGAGGCTGAGAAGCAGGCTTTCTGTCCGCAGCTATAGGAACTGGTCAGGGTCAGAGCTGGGCCTGGAATGCAGGTGTCTGGGCTCCCAGGCTGGTGCCCATTCAAGTGAGTAGTGACTTCCTGCTGTGGGCCAGGCTCTGTGGCATCCTCTTCCACCACCCGGAGTCTGGCACGTGGCTTCTGGGATCCCCCAAACCCACTGGCTGCCAGGCCAAAGGGACCATCAGAAAACCCCCTTGAAGAACCAGGGCTCCCCAACCTGCTTCAATATGTATATTGATTTCAGAGAGGAAGGGAGAGGGAGGAAGGGAGAGAGAGAGGGAGAGGGAGAGAGAGAGAGAGAGAGACATCAATGATGAGAGAGAATCACTGATCAGCCGCCTCCTGTACATCCCACACTGGGGATCGAGCCCACAACCTGGGCATGTGCCCTGACAAGGAATCGAACCGTGACCTCCTGGTTCACTGAGCCATGTCAGCTGGACCCAAACCTGCTTCTGCCACGCATCCCAGACACCCTCAGGTGGCTGGTGCCCACAGATCCCAGTACAACCACCAAACTCCATCGGCTCAGTGACCTCTAGGAGACAGTGCAGGTTGCGGCCATAGCACAGCTTGCATTTCATAAAAGCCTTTTGCTTTCAATTTACAAGATCCCGTGACAGACAGGGCAGAAGTGTGTGTGCCCCTTTGCAAGGTGGAAGACGGAGGCCTGGAGAGCCCAGAAAGCCCTCCACGGCTGCACAGCATCCCGTGGCTGAGCTCGGGCGCGAGCCTGGGCTGCTCCCTGCAGGATCCCGAGCAGGACCTAACGGCAGAGACACTGACAAGCAGGGCCCCGAGAGCCAAGTGTTGGTGTTGATGGGGCCTCAAGGCTGGGTTGGGGGGGGCGGGGAGCAGCCAGCATGGCTCAGTGGTTGAGAGTCGACCTATGAACCAAGAGGTCACAGTTCGATTCGGGGCACATGCCCGGGTTGCAGGCTCGATCCCTGGTGGAGGGGCATGCAGGAGGCATCTGATCAATAATTCTCACATCATTGATGTTTCTATCTCCCTCTCCCTTCCTCTCTGAAATCAATGAAAAAATATATATATTTTGAAATGACAGGGGCGGGGGAGGTGGGGCACTACTGGTCCCTGGGGAAGACTCCCCTGCACCTCGGGGGTCCCTGTCTTGGAGGGCGGAGCTCTCTCCCTCACTCTGGTCCTCTCTTTCTCGAGGGATGGAAGACAGGAAGATGGACCTCCGGCAGCTGCTGTCCAAGGTGAAGCCCCAGTGGTCTAGCAGGTCCGCAGACTGGTCCTTCCTGAGCTCGCTCTTCTTCTGTTGCTCGGTGATCAGCACCGTGGGTAAGTGCAAGGGCAAGGCTGGGCCTGGCAGAAAGGACTGGGGAAGAGGGTGGGGCAGGGGAGATACTGAGGACCCTTGGTGAGGATGCTGGGACATTCAATTCATGTCGTGTGGAGGGCCTACCCTGTGCCAGGCCTACTGCGCACGGGCGGGCACCGGTCCCAGCTCAGGACACAGCAGGCCCTGCCACTGGCCCCCAAGGCGCCTTCGTGGGAATTAGAGAAGAGCGCCTTTCTCAGGTGGGTGCAGCCATGCCTGCCCGCAGCTATAGGAATAATAGGTCAGGGGCAGGGTCGGAGCTGGGTCTAGACTGGGCGTAGCCCCCAGGGAGCAAGGTGTTGGCTGGGATCCAGCCCCTTCTCGCCCCTCAGCTGAGTGCTCTTGTCCCAAACTCCATCGGCCGGCAGCACCTGCCAGCCCAGCTCCTGGGCAGGACGGAGGAACTCGGGGGAGCCCCGCGGTCAGCACGGGCTGTGCTCAGGGCTTTGTGGGAGCGCCGACTTGGGCAGCTGCCCCGGGCTTGAGGGAGGTCCAAGAGGCAGGACTGGAAGTTGCGGCTCCAGTGGCGCCTCCCAGTGGAGACACCCAGCACTGGGGCTCCCAGTGAGGGGCGGGGAGGGGAGGTGGGTTTCAGGATCACCAGCGCCCCCAGCTGGTTTCTTCCAGAAGGCTGACATGGCCAGGGTGATGTGTGACAATAACAGCGATACCCCTGAGCACCCAGCAGGGCCTCATATGCGTTATCCTATTTCATTCTCACGGCAACCCCAGGAGGTAGACGCTGTTTCTGTCCCACTCGGCAGTGAGCTGGGAACACTTTGAGGGGACAACCATTATAGGGAGCAGTGTCTACAAGGAAGATTCTGGAGATGAGCAAGGGGCTGAGAGTATGAGGTTTAGTTTGTTTTTAGTGTGTGTTTTTCTTTCTCAAGAACTTCAGGGGATTGATCTAACTGATCTTATCATTTCTAAGCCTCGGCACTACTGACAATATGACGGTTGGACCAGATGACTCTTTGCTGTGGGGTGCCCTGGGCACTGTGGGATGTTTAGCCGCGTCCCTGGCCCTTATCCACCAGAGGCTCTTACCTCTTCCTCTTCCTCCTCTGTACCCACCAGTTTCGCCAACCAAAAGATTCTCCAGGCTTTGACAAATGTCTTTGGGGGGCAAGACTGCCCCCCGTTGAGACCCACTGAGCCAGCCGTGGGCAAACTACGGCCCGCGGGCCGGATCCGGCCCGTTTGAAATGAATAAAACTAAAAAAAAAAAAAAAGACCGTACCCTTTTATGTAATGATGTTTACTTTGAATTTATATTAGTTCACACAAACACTCCATCCATGCTTTTGTTCCGGCCCTCCGGTCCAGTTTAAGAACCCATTGTGGCCCTCGAGTCAAAAAGTTTGCCCACCCCTGCACTGAGCTAATACAATGGTTACCAAGGTGCAGTCTCTGGACCAGTAAGTAGGACAGGTATCACCCAAGAACGTGTTAGAAATTCAAGGTAATTCTCGGGCCCATCCTAGACCTTCTGAGTCAGAAACTATGGCTGTGGGGCCCGGCAAAGTGTGTTTAACAAGTTCTCACGGCGATTCGGATGCATGCTAACGTGGGGAAGCATTGACCTGATTTCAGGGCTCTCAGCCCTGGCTACACGTTAGAATCACCTGGCCACCTTCCACAAGCTCCGCGCCTGGACCCTGCCCCACGCCAATCAAGTCAGAATCTCTAGGGACGGGCCCAGGCGTCAGCCTTTCTCAGAGCCCTTGGGTGATTCTAACGGGACTCCGGGCTGGGAACCACTGATGTGATGGAAATGCATTAGCTTGGTTTAAATCCCCAGGAAGCGATGCTATCATCCATGATGTAAGTCAATTAGGACATGGGGCCGTCCAGCAATGACAACTGGAAGAGGGTGTTGGGGAAAGTTCTGCGCTGCCCAGAATCGGTAACGGTGTTTGAAGGCCCTGCTGGCATTGCCGCTGCCGCCCTGGTCTCTGGTCACTGCCATGCACCTGGCCTTGATGCTGGGAAAGGGACACCTGGCAGGTGTGAGGCTGGCCAACCCCCCCGTCATTGCCAATTGGGTCAGCCCCCTTGGGTTAGAAAGTTAAGTGGACGAGCTATTAAATACTCCCAGCCTAAGTGGAGGGGACTGATCCTAGTGGAACATATAAATGCATTAGAAGAAATGATCTGATTTTCCCATTATGCAGCTCAGCATCCGGTAAGTGGGGCAGTCAATACAGGCCCTTCGTCGGGGCTGGGCGCTCTCTGAGACTTGTTTCTGTGGTGTATTTTCTATAGCATGGCATATATTCTGGGTTATAAACATGTCCCACCCAAGGCAGCCACAGACTTTATTTATAAGGTACGAAGCCCACCTTTGCCGAGGAGAGCAGGTTGGGTGTGTGCATGTGGGGAGGGGGGTGGGTGAGATCTTAGAGAGAGGGGTACACACCCTTGTGGGCTGTCAGCTGTTTGACCCTGGCCAGGTCACCTGACTTCCCTGTTCCATGTCCATTAGCTGTGGTAACAATGGTGGTTTTGTATTGCAAGGAATTTTGACTCCAAAAGGCACTCGACTCTATAAATCTCGTAAGAAATGAGCATTTTTTTCCTTTTAAAAGGAAAAAAATCTGACCCTGGGTCTCCATACTTGTGGATGGGGAGTTTTAACTTCTGACTTTCCTCGTGGTGCCTGGGAACTAGGGGCCCTGTGCTGCCTGGAAAACAGAGGGGAGAGGCCTGTCGATGGGCCCCCAGGGCTGCTGTTGACGTCCTTCTGGGCTGATGGCTCTGTGGGTCCCCGGACACCCAGGGCCTGGGCTCCTCCGGCCGGTCGCCTGGCTGGGCCTCTCTGAGCTCCCTTCCCCTCCTCTCTCCTCCTCCCTGCTCGAGTCTCTCTCCCCGCTCCTCCATGGCCAGCGTCAACTGCCTCCTTTGCCCTGGCTGCACTGGTTTTAGCACCAGAAGTCCCATGTTCTGGGACACCCCTCAGTCCTGAGCAAACGGGGCAGTTGGCCATTCTACCCACGACCCACCTCTGTCGCCCGTCCTCCCTCTCCCTTAGACCCCACCCACCACGGTCTCCTCAGTGGTCCTGGGCTTTCACCAAGGCCTGGAGGGGAGGCTGTCCTGAGGCCACTTCTGCAACCCCTGTCCCTCAGGGGAGGGCGGGAGCTGCTGCAGTGGAGGCAGTGGGAACCCTCAGTACCCTCCCAGCAAGTCCTGCCACAGGGAGCAAACCCGGGACCCGGTGGGAGGTGGAACCAATGTGCTCCCCAGTCCTGAGCCCGGTGCACACACCTGGCCGCGGCCTGCTGGAATGAAGGAGAGCTGAGCTCCAGGCCAAGCTTTCCTCTCAACCAGGAGCCCCCAGAGGGCGTGACCACTGCCTGTTCCTTGTATAGCCCCCAAGCTTGGGCACAAGAGCCTGGCATGTAGTAGGTGCTCCCATAAATGTGGAATCCAGGCTAGTGCCTTTGTTTTAATTGCTCACCCAACAGCCTGCTCTTTTGAAATTTTTTTTTTATTGTTGTAAGTGCTACATATGTCCCCTCTTTTCCCTCATTGACCCCCTCCAGCCGGCCCCAGCCCCCAGCCCAGGCCACCACCCTATTGTCTGTGTCCATGGGTTATGCATACAGTGGGGCCTTGACTTACGAGTTTAATTCGTTCCATGACGGAGCTCGTAACTCAAATTACTCGTATGTCAAATCAAAAAGTGAACAGGTGAGACACGTGATGCTGGGCTGATGTTGTGGTGTTCACTGTGACGTTCGCTGCACCAACTAGCGGTGGGGTATCTGAAGCTGGCTCGTAACACGAATTTTAGCTCGCAACTCAAAGCAAAAAATCGGCCGAGAGACGGCTCGTATCTCGAAAAACTCGTTAGTCGGGACACTTGTAAGTCAAGGCCCCACTGTATATGCATTCAAGGTCTTGGGTTGATCTCTTTCCACCCACCCCCCCCCATCCCCTGCCTTCCCTCCGAGATCCCCCACTCGATTCCATGCTTCCAAGTCTCTGGATCCACTCTGTTCATCAGTTTATTTTGTTAATTAGATTCCACATAGGAGTGAGGTCATGCAACAGCCTGCTCGTGTACATCTTGTCCTGGATCCCCATCTGGAATCCCATACCTGCTGAGTGGGGTATGGAATTTGACGCATATCTGTCTCCTCCACTAAACCAGAGCTCAGAGGGGTGAGGTTCCATATTTACTCTGCTCACCGTGTGCCCGGCGCACGCAGTCAGCACTCCACGTGCGCACACGCTAGGAAGACACACACAGAGCGAGTCGCCCTGCCGTCACACGGAGCCTCTGGAACCAGCCAGGTGGCCTGGAATGCCCCGGAACAGGCACAGACTGCTGAGACCCACCGCGGGCCACGGCCCTCCCCCAGGACCCTGGCGCAGCGGGCAACTGATCATTCCCACAGGGCAGAGCCTGGCCCAGAGCTGGCCACAAGGAGCTGCCGCCCCGAGGAGCTGGGGCTCAGCCAGCCTAGCAATTACCTTCACATTAATTTACATAATTGGGCTGGGTTTCCTGTATTAATCTTCCTTTAAGGCATCAAAAATTAAACACAGGCATTAAAGACGAAAGCGTTCCCTGTTTGTTGAGGTCACTGAGTTCGCCCATCCAGAAGGTCCAACTACCTGCGCTGTGGGGGTTGGCGGCTCCCTCTCCTGCCCTGCTGGTACACATGAAGGTGGGGGTGAGGGTGAGGGAAGGAGGGGGTCCTGGAGAGCATGGAGGCCTCAGCCCACCCACCCCTTTGCTTGGATGACCTGTTCTCGCTGGTTGGAGGGTTCCGCCCCCTTGGTGCCCTGACCCAGTGGAGACGGAGCCCTGGCAGCCCTGGGGTGTGACTCCCACCTCCCTCTCTATCACACGTACACTCTTGGCCACATTGCTTCATGTCTCCGACCTCAGTTTCCCCCTCTGTGAATGGTGATAACAAGGCCCACCTATGAAGGTGGGCTGACGCCAGCCCAGTGAGTGCTCAGTAGGCAGCTGCGTTAGCTCCTGAGGGTGAGGACGCCAGCCTTCTCCAGTCGCCCACTATGTGTCAGGCACTGGCCCCATGTAGTCCTGCCTGCTAGTTGATAGACAAATCAGGGATAGTCGTCCTCATCCTATATAATAAAACCCTAATATGCAGATTGGCCGAACGGCAGAAAGACCAGTCACTATGACGCGCACTGACCATCAGGGGGCAGAAGCTCAATGCCGCAGGAGCTGCCCCCTGGTGGTCAGTGCGCTCCCAGAAGCCGGGCTCACAGCTGGCGAGCACAGAGGAGGTGGCAGGAGCCTCTCCTGCCTCCACTGCAGGCAGGGGGTAAGGAGCGAGGGGTCCCAGACTGCGAGAGGGTGCAGGCCGAGCTGAGGGACCCCCCTCCAGTGCACGAAATTTCGTGCACCGAGCCTTGAGTTTATAGATAAGAAACCTTAAAATGTGAGCAGTCAAGTCACTTTCTAGTAAATGGCAGAGCTGGGATTCGAACTGAGATTGGTAAGATTCTAGATCAGCGGTTCTCAACCTGTGGGTCACGACCCCTTTCACAGGGGTTGCCTAAGACCATCGGAAAACACATATATAATTACATATTGTTTTTGTGATTAATCACTATGCTTTAATTATGTTCAATTTATAACAATGAAAATACATCCTGCATATCAGATATTTACATGACGATTCATAACAGTAGCAAAATTACAGTTATGAAGTAGCAACGAAAATAATTTTATGGTTGGGGGTCACCACAACATGAGGAACTGTATTAAAGGGTCGTGGCATTAGGAAGGTTGAGAACCACTGTTCTAGATGCTGGGATCCTAACCGCTTCCCCATCATTTGTGAACAAGTCTAGTGCACTAAACCACGGTGGCTCTGAGGGCAGCAATTGCATTTTATTCACTTTCCAACTTCCTCCTGTCCGGAATGCTATGCACACTGCTGTACACATTGAAGGCACATAATAATCACCTAATACACAGACACAAACAAACCAAGAGGCCCAGACCTTCCAGCGAGGACAAGAGTGGCTCCTGAAAAACCCAGTGCCTTCATGGAGGAGGAAGGGGGTGGTGGGTATGATTGCAAGGCCATCCACGCCCCCTTACCTGCGCTCATCCTGTCCTTCTGGGTGAGCTGGTCCATCTCACGCAGACGCTCAGGAATGGCCAGGGCAGGGTGAAAGGCGGTCAGCTCACTCCCAATCACGTGCTTGTCCCCTGCCAAGGACACTCCAGGTCAATCATCTGGACACGACCTGCTCTGTCTCCTAAAGAGAAGCTGTAACCCTCTACTCCCCCCGAAAGCAGGCCTAACGGTAGACAAGAGGATGGGTGTTTTAAGATGCATACTTGCAAACACATTGTGTCAAAGGTCACGCCAAGGAGGGGAAAGGGCAGAGGTCACTTTAACGCCTTTTGGGGCGGGGCGGGGCGGGGGGGCCAGGTGACCAGCCCGGCTGTGTCCTCTTGCAGGTTACAGCCACGTCTACCCCGTCACCAGGCTCGGCAAGTACCTGGTCATGCTCTACGCGCTCTTCGGCATCCCCCTGATGGTCCTGGTGCTCACGGACACGGGCGACATCCTAGCAACCATCCTGTCCAGGTGCTACAATCGGTTCCAAGGACTCCTCCCGCTCCGCCCTCCGCTCTCCAAATGGTGCTCCCGACTGCTCTGCCGGAGAAGGCCTGCCGCCAAGCCCATGGACCCAACCATCCCCAGGGTCATCATCAGCGCCCAGGAGCCCCCGGGCCCCAAACCCGGCATGTGTCCCTCCGCCCCCAGCAACAGCACGGAGCTGCTCGAGGGGCTCCTGGCGGGAGACACACAGAACACGCTGCAACCGCCCCCTCGGGCTGTGCCCAGGAGTAACTCCTGCCCCGAGCTGGTGTCGGGGAGACTCTCCTACTCCGTCATCAGCAACCTGGACGAGGTGGGCCGGCAGGTGGAGCGGCTGGACGTGCCCCTGCCCGTCATCGCTCTCCTGGTGCTCGCCTACATCTCCTGCGCAGCCGCCATCCTCCCCGCCTGGGAGCAGCACCTGGACTTCCAGGATGCCTTCTACTTCTGCTTCGTCACGCTGACCACCATCGGGTTTGGGGACACCGCCTTGGAACACCCCCACTTCTTCTTGTTTTTCTCTCTCTACATCATCGTTGGGATGGAGATCGTGTGCATCGCTTTCAAGCTGGTGCAGAACAGGCTGATTCGCATGTACAAGCAGCTCATGCTGCTCTTCGCCAAAGGGAAGTGTTAGGACCCCGCTAAGCCGGGAAGGCACCGCCGTCCCTGACGTGGCACGTGTGGGCCGAGCTGGGTGGCTTGCCTGGTCTTTCGGGGCCGGTGTAGTTAAAGCGTGGCCCTGCGGCCTGTCATCTGAGACCGTGGGGCCCTGATTTTAGTCTCCAGGCCCTGTAGAAAGGGGGCCAGTGCCCTATGTAACAGGACAGTAGACAAAAACGATCACCAGGCCCTAATGTCCAATTTATTTCCCTGTCTTCTTTTTTTTTTTATTTTATTTTAGAGGCTGCTTATTCACGCTGGGGACAGTGAAATAGGAAAGGACTGGGGAAATGAGCCCAGGCTGACCTGCTTTGGCTCACTAAGAAGTTAGAGAAATGGGGCCTGGGGGTTGCCCGGGATGAACTATATCACTGCCCATTGCTGCTCTGGTTGCAAGCCTCGCGGGGTCTCTTAGAGCTTAGGAGATGCATGTCTATGGGGGAAGGAGGGAGGGGGAAGGGGACAGGAAAGGCATGGGCATGCTCCCAGGAGGGAGAGTGTGTCCCCTGTCTCCCTTTTTTTAAAAAAAAACACACCATCACCTTATGTAGATGAAACCGCCTAACAGAAGTCACCAGTTTTCTGGCACCACGAGAAAAAAATCGCCTTTGTTCTTGCACATTGTACTTTGTGCTGAATTAAACCTTCCTGAGCTGCTCCCCATGTGCCCTTGATGCAACAGAGCTCGTCTGAGCAGCCTCTTTTCTTACGTGGCTGCGCGAATGCAGGCGAGACCAGCCGATTCCAGTCCATGTAAAATACGCCCGTCCGCTGAGCGGCGCTGTCGCCGGTGTTCACAGGGGCCCGGGAGAGTTCCTGATTGTCAGGGTCTGTGCAGACAGTGTTCTCACTCAGCGGGATGCGATTGGCACCTCCTGAACGAGTTGGCATGTGGAAGTGTTGATGCTTAAGCAAATGGCTGGGCACACAAGAGGTCTGGCACTCGTTGGCACTCACCCGGTGCCAATTCATGAATGAGCTGGCGCGTGAATGAGCTGGCTGTGGGGCAGATGCTGTAGATGGCCCTCCCAGCTGCCCCGGCTCTCCGGCTCCCTTTGCCCGAGGACTTTCTCTGGCCCCTAAAGCTGGGCACTCACAGGGCAGGTTAGAAGTGCCAAGGAGTCAGGGCTCTTGGGAGCAGTCCTCAATCCATGACTGATGGCACCCAGCTTCTTGCCTCTCCCCTGGGGTAACCCTGGGTCATATTGAACGCTGTCTCCCCCGCCACCCCACCACCACCACCACCCGTCCCCCTGAGTTCCCAGCTGCCTGGAGCCTCCGCTGCTCATGAGAACACCCTGTATTGGCCCCCTTCACTTCCCCATCTCATCTCCCCACTGCTCTGAGATCACCCCTAAGTAACCCACATGCACACAGTCCTTGTCTCAGAGTCACTCCTGGGGACCCGGGCCCTGGGAGAGGATGTGACAGGTCTGGCGGCGAGGACCGCACTTCCCCGAGTGGCCACCAGGGGGAGCCGCCAGACCGCACGGACCCCGCGCTCCGGGCCAGCCGCTGGCCCTTCAGCTTTCAGTGCCTGGGGGGCTCCGCCACCGCCCTCCGGGATCGGATATCTCCCGCGGTGGCCCTCTGAGAGGGGACACCTCCGACTTATGTCCTCACTGCGGTCCTAGAGGAGGGCTCCTAGGGCCTCTGCCCCCGCTGGGACATGGTGGGGAAACAGCACCTGGGACCCAAGTCCTCCGAGCAGCTTTCACGAGGGCGCTTCCTACTCTTGTTCCTTGTGCTTCAAATCGCCTGCCCTGCTAAGCTAAGGCCATGTGGCCACTGCAGTCCCAGCCACTGCACAGTGTCGCCCTTCACCCGGGTCCCTTCCTTCTCTGACCACCGGCCTCCTGCTGGGGGGTAGACCGGCTGAAGCTTGCAAGACACACCTAGAACCTTCTGCAGAGCACAGACGCCCTGTCCCGCTGGGATGTGCTGCTGGAGGCTCTGCGAGTGGCGGTGGTGCTGGGCTTGGATGCTGTGTCTAAAGCTGCCAGGTGACTCTCACCTGGTTCTCAGGGGAGGCCAGGGACAGGCAGGCTCTCCCAGGAAGGGGTGGGGGTGCCCCCTGCTCCTGGGAGGGCTGTGGGACAGACCTGGCTGGTGCCAGCCCTCAGGGCCCTGCTCTGCAGGTGACCCGGACAGTGGAGGCCTGCTCCTGGGCCTCTCCAGGGAGGACAGGATTGGCCTGGGCAGTGCCCGTGGCCCTGCTGACCTCGGGGTTCGGGTGCCCTGCCGGCTGCTTTGATGGGTGGTGACTGGGGGGGACCTGGTCCCCCAGGGCCCTGGCGCCCCTGTGGCTTCTGGGTGCACTGCTCTGACGGGGCCGCAGTGCCGACCGGGGCTGGCGTGTGGCTCCGTGTGAAGGCCTCTGCCTGGGGGACAGGCCGCCTTGAACCTTGGCAGGTTTCTCTGTCAGTCAGATGAGCGTCAAGAGGGTACCTACCTCCACGCGTCCTGCGCGGGTCCCAGGGAAGTGCTGCCCAGCGCCCCGCTCTGTGCGCGCTTTAAAGTCCTAGCGGTCCCGGGAGGGGATGAGGTGCGTCTCAGCTCCCCCTGGCACCCCTCCCGCCTGCGGGAGGCAGAAAGGGGGAGACCGGGAGGGAAGGCCTGGACGCCCGCAAGGAGCCCAGCTGATCTGGAGCGTCTCCATCACGGGGCCCAGGGAGCATGCGCAGTCCCCGCCCAGGTGGGGCGCGTCCGGCAGCGGAGGCCCAGCGCAGGTGGACTGGAGGTGGGAAGCATTCTTTCCAGCTCCCCCCTTAGTGCCCTGGGGTTCCCTCCCCAGCCTGCAGTGGTCACCTTCTCTTGGCTTCCAACGCAGCCCTTTGCCTGATGGGCGCTCTCTCTCTCTCTCTCTCTCTCTCTCTCTCTCTCTCTCTCTCTCTCTCTCTCCAGGGCTTCCACCTGCGGCCCATTGTTTCCTCCCTGTCTCCACTCCCTCCCGTTGGTCTCACCCACTCAGGTGGAAATTAGCACGATGCCCAGGACTCCACATTGAAAACTGCGTCCTGGCTCCTCTGACTGACTGTCCAAGACGAGCTCTGACCTTGACCCTGGTCTTGCTCCTCCCCTTGGCCCTGGTCAGTCCCTGCCCAGGTGGGGCGCCTTCGGCAGCAGCTGCCCAGCCTTCCAGTGGCTCAAGCCAGACGCCAGGGAGGCCGCTGACTGGGCTTTCTTCTCCCTCCTGCTCTGACTCGAGAGGCACGTGTGCGGCTTTTAAAAATCCCCTCAGTCTTGCCCTCCCTGTTTGGCTCAGTGGATAGAGCAACGGCCTGTGTACTGAAGGCTCCTGGGTTCGATTCTGGTCAAGGGCACATGCCCGGGTTGTGGGCTCGGTCCCCAGTAGGGGGAGTGCAGGAGGCAACTGATCCATGATTCTCCCTCATCATGGATGTTTCTATCTCTCCCTCCCTCTCCCTCTCTGCCATCAATAAAAACATATTAAAAATAAAATTATAAAAACTTATATTAAAAAAAGAATCCCCCATCTTGAATGTGCCTCCCAGAGATCCCACTTCTCTGGTTTCAGGTGGGGCCTGTCAAGTGCCAGGTGAGCCTGGTTGCTTATTCACTCATTTATTCATCCACAAGCGGCAGGTCAGCGAGCACTGAGCTGTGTGCCGGGCACTGGAGGTACAGCCCTGAGGAGAGCACTTCTGATGCCCAGGCACAGAGCCGATGCTCATGCCTGTTTGCTGGGAAAGGTGATCCAGGTGACCCGGACCCCTCTCCCCTGACAGAGAACCAACGAGACAGTCGGGTGACAGGAGCCAGGCCAAGAGGGTCGTCCCTGCATCCAGCTTCCTGGAAGCCAGACACATGCCATGGCTGGCGGGGGGGCTGTCCAGGGTCGGGAGGCCTGGGTGACTGGGCCGTTGCCATGGTGACCGATGTGCACCTGGTTAGCGGAGAACTTTGAAGTGGACTTGGCTGCAGGACAACAAAGAGCACCTCCATCTCGGATGCAAATCGTGGCTCTTTTCATCCTCAGCCCTCTCCCGCTCTGCTTTTGTTCCTGCCGTTAGATCAGAGAATAAACCCTTCCCCAGGCTATAAATTCAAAACACAGGCAATTAAGGGGCCTCTCTGAGGGTCAAGCCCGGCTTCAGTCTCTTCAAAAAGCAATGGCATGTGTAGAAAAAGAGATGGCCGTGCAAAGGTGGTCAGCATCACCTGCATGTCGCTATCCAACAGAGGCAGTGGAGGGCAACAGTAGGTTTACAGCTGTGAGTACATGGACGAGTTCATAAAGCTACTGTGAGCATCATGGCCTGCCCCTCTTTTTCCATATGAACAACTGTTGGCCTACTTTTGCCCACCCCTGTGTTTACTGAGGACCTACTACGTGCGAGGACCCCGGGGAGTCAGACGGGTACGAGATGGACCAGGCTTCTGGTCTCCCAGAGCTTATGATCAGGACTACCGCTCCGTGCCTCAGTTTCCACAATGTTCAATAGGGCTGAAGTAGCCCTGGGGTTTCCATATGGTGCGTCCTGCAGCCCAGGCACAGATTCCAGTCACTTCCCCCATTTCAACCTGAGTCGATTTGCTTTGCTCTGTTTTATATATTCTACGTTCCTGTAACATTTTGTTTGAAGAAAAAAGTCCATAATGAGAGAGAGAAGAACCATTGGCCAGGAATTCCCTAAGGCTTTTCCCAAGGGAGTGCTCTGTGATGTTGACCGCTAAGGAGACCAGATTCGCAGGGCTAGTGGGCCTCATGGAGACTGATGTGCAGAAGGCAAGTTGCATTAGCACGTACACCTGGCTGGAGGGCTGACACCTGCCTTCATTTTAAGTAAGGAAAGGAGCTCCGCTCAGCCAGTGTTGGAAAGAGAGAATCAGGTCGTTCCTCACCAGGTACCCCTTGGCATCGCTCTGAGACATCTGCCCTTCCAGACTGCATGCTCCAGGCCCTCGCGGCCCCGCCCTCGCCTTCCTCGAGCAGCTTGGTCTGGGCAGCAG